AGTCTGGTTTTGAGACTTATTTACGTGTTTTCTCATTTCGACTGGGGTAGGGGGCTGTTAGTGCCTACACAGATTACCTCCTCTGAGCTGGATAAGGTGGGACAGTGGCCATGAGCAGCGGTAGGGATGGTGACCCAAAAGCCCTTTCCTGTGGGCTGGGAGCAGTAGGAGGGATGGTGGCCGGGAAGCTCCTTCCTCTGGACCAGAAGCAGTGGGATGGCGGCTCTGAAGCCCCTACCCCTGGGCCAGGAGTGGAGGGACAGAAGGTGGTCCAAAAGCCCTTTCCTCTGGGATGGGTGCAGAAGGAGGGATGGTGACTGGGAAGCCCCTTCCTCTGGACCAGGAGCAGTGGGATGGCGGCTCAGAAGCCCCTACCTCTGGGCCGGGAACAGCGGGACTCAGTACCTTGGTCTGGTGGTCTGGTGTCCTCTGCGTCTTTGTAGTGTGGAACCAGGTGGCTGCCTGTCTGCAGCGGGGTCACTCAGTGTCTTCCTGAAAAATGCTATTATAAGTGTACAAAGACAAGGCACAGGGAAAGGTATGTGCAACATAGGTAATTGCTAAAGGCCTAATATTCAGCCTTCTTTCAAATAAATTAAAAATAAATTAAAAGGGAACCTAATTGGAAAAAGTCAAGAAATTTGAGCAGATCCATCACAAAAGAGTATATTCAAATGGCTATTGTTTGTTAAAAAGTCTCAGTGTCATTAATCATCAGAAAAATGCCAATGAAAACCACAATGGAATCATTCTAGGCCATCTAAACCAGCTAAAATGATGAAGCCTGAAAATACCAAGAATACGGTTGATAAGAATGTGGAAGAAGAAATGTCATTCATAGTGGATGGGAGTGTAGAACCAGTACAACTTCTTGGGAAAACCGTTTTGGCATTAATTACTTGAGTTGAATTTGTGTCTAGCCTATAACCCCACAGTTACATTCCTAGGTGTATATCTAGCAGAAATTTATGTACCTATGCAAGCGTATAAGAATGTCCAAAGCAGCACAATTAGTAATAGTCCCAAACTGGAAACAATCTTAACATCACCAAAAATAGAATGAACAAACTGAACAATGGAGAACTTTATAGCAATGTACCACAACTGAAAACAACAACACAGATAACTTTTTTTTTTTTTTACCAAGGATGAAACTCAGGACCTTGGGCTTGCGAGGCAGGCAGTGGCACCACTGAGCTAAATCCCCAGCCCCAGATAACTTTTATAAGCATAATGTTGCGTGAAACAAGCCAGACATGATGGATACACAGTGAATTATTTGGGGAAGAAAAGCTAATTGGTAATCAGGTGACTTCTGCAGGTCTAGCATTGCTGTACTTCTTGGACTTGGTTATTGCTTATCAATGCATATACTTTGTCATAACTCACTGGGCTATAATGTCTATTTTGTGTATTTTTCTGTATGTGTATCATGGTTTACATTCTTTGTAAAAAATATAGACTATTCCTCCAAAAAGTTTAAAAGATTTGATGAGAAAATATTCTGTAGGATTTTAAAATTAGAAAACTTGGAATTTGAAAGATGGCATAATGTGAAGATTGCTAGTACTTACCCCCAAATATCTGGCACACAGAATGGCAAAGTAAACTAAAAGGATTTTAGAAACCACCCAAGACTCTCCTTCCCTGCATCTGCAACCTCCCAACCCTTTTCGGAAAACTTTATCTGACCAATTCTCTCCCTGGAACTGCCACCAACTCTTCAAGGTTACTTTAGAAATAGTCATATTAATACAACCTAATCCAACTGGTACAATTTCAACCCACCCCTGACTATAGTTGAGTGTTCAGAACGAGCATACTCTTTGCAATGTAGTTTACAACTTAGAAATCGCAACACTGCACTTTCATAAATTAGTAAGTATACATTTTAATAGCTATGTATTTACAGCCCCCCCTCAGATGCATTTCCTTTATCTTCTTAAGTGTAAGAGGCATACAAGGAAATCATTAAAAGCACAGGCTTTGGAATTAGATTCACCAGGGCTCAGGTTCCAGTTCTGTTGCTCAGTAAGCCAGGCCCATGTCCAAGCCTACCTCCTCAGCTTGAAACTCAAGATGTGTGACTAATCCACAGAGCTGTTGTAAGGATTGATTGAGGTAGGAATTGTAAAATGCTTAGCATGTGTCTACCTCCAAGTAAGAATTCAGTAACTTTGTACTATTGCTATATCCCATTCCCAGAAACCATTCAGAAATTAAACTAGAGTAGGAAGAACGTGTATTTTTTGTTTGTGGTATTGGTACTTGGAGGTGGGAGGTGTGGGGTACTAATTTCATGTCCTTTTGATCAGAAAGCCCAGAAACCCATAGTACATCACGTACCACAAAATTCAGATCACAATGAGCTAAATCGTGGTTAAGGGGGGGGGGGGGGGTAGTAGTGCTAAGTAGAAGGAAACATTTGAATGTGTTGAGTCATTTTAAAAATCTTTCAAGGACATGGTGTTTATTTTGCCATGAAAGAGTAAAGTTAACAGAGATGAACAGAAGGATAGTATTTAAAGTTACTAAGGAGCCTCCCTAAGGTGAGACTGTGTCACAGGCAACAAGAGAAATTTTGATGAAAACTTCACACCAATGCATGAGAAATATCATCCGAATAACTAGTAGATTCTCAGGTCACTTGTGTCTTTCCTACGGACAGAGTGAGGAGTTAACAGCAAAGGGAAATTTGGATCGTCCTCTGGCAAGGAGCAAAGGGGGAACTTAAAGAAGAGAGAAGACAGGGAAGGAGAGGCATGCAGAAAACTACTGACCCCAAGTAAGCGCCAGCCCACTCATGGGGGGGAGGGTCCTCCATCTCCCGCTGCTGCTACACTCATTCCCACTTGCTGGTTGGAGGAAGAACTTTATGAAATGACATGTCACTGTTCAAGTGAAGAAAGATTAGGAGGTAAGGGAGGAATATGCCTATGTCTGTTTCAGTCCCTTTCAGGCCACGAATGAATCACATCTGAACAGAAATGCATATGCAAGTCCTAAAGTTTAGGTATCAAAAAAAAAAAAAAGGTTGATGGAGCTAAACTAATACAATGTGTAATTAAACAGAAAAGGGCAACTCAAGATAACACTGATGACATGCTAATAACATAGAGCCCTTTCTCAAATGTTCAGAAATCACAACTGAATCAGTAATGTGGAAAAACAGAAACCACACCAGTTATTTTCACAGGGAGAATTTACTATAAGGAACCGGTTAATCAGATGTTAGAGAACTAAGAAAGAAAAAAGATAGATCAATGGCAAATGGGTAAGGAATCAATAGATGAAGGGAGGGGCAAGGAGAGGAGGGGAAGGGGACGTACAAAGAATTAAGTTGCGTAATGTACATGAGCCAACTCCCCACAATGAATGTAATCATTATGTACTGCAAGCATGCAGTGATAAAAAGTATAAAGAACACTGGGATTGAAACAGAAGGTAACTACTGGGAGCAACTGGCACCCTCAAAGCGGAGGAAACAAAGAGGACTGGGATTATATACAGAAAGAGGAGCCTCAAGAAACTCCAACTCCGGGCCCTGAGATCTGCGATTTTTCCCAGGAGATGGAGGGAGGCAGATTCCGGGAGCACAGGAAGAAGCTAGAAACAAGAGCCAAAGGCGCCTGGAGCTGCTCGTGCCCGGGTAGATGCAGCACTGCAGGAACACTAAGAGCATGGAGCCGGGCCGGCCTCTTCCAGCTGTCAGTGCCTCCGGGGGCCTCCACCTGTGTGTGCGAGCTGCAGGCGCCTCGACCGACCGACCGACCGACCGACGGACGGGACAGGTGGTTTGTGGAGTCCCACCCTAAGGGACAACCTGGTCTGGACTCCTTCCTCTTCCTAAGTCTTCCTGGCAAGGGGAGAAATAGCCAATTAAAGGAAGAAAATATTGTTCTTCCTGTTACTTCTTCCCCACCAAAATAAAATAAAATAAAATGTTTCAATTACCAAATACTTTTTACTTTATTTTTGGTAAGGTAAATCAAGGGTAGTTGATCCAACTTTAGGGTCTTTCTTTTTATCTGTGCTTTTGAAAACAGGCATTATGGAGGACCGAGACAACATATCCGAGGTAAATCATTCACCTGTTTTCAGGCTTTCCACCTCTCTAGACCAGACCGCCGGCCAGGCCAGCTCTGACTGTCTGGTGCTGCATCAGCACTCTGCCCTTCCTTCGCTCTTCCTCTCTCCCGTGTGCACAGCTTGGCATCTGGAGCCAGGCCGCCGCCCCCAGGCCTCGGGACTTCAGAAGCATTGCTGGACTTTGGGTTTCCCAGTCCTTTTGGTGAAATGGGCTGCTCCCTAACCGCAGGTGGTGCGGGCTGATCCCCTCGAGCACCCGGTGCTTAGAGCACTTGGAAATGCCTGTCCCCTTCATTGTCCTTCTTCCGGTATTAAACCTGGGGTTTTAAGCGACGGCCAGACAAGCCCTAAGGCCGGAGTCCTTCTGCAAGGTGTTTGCTGCTCGCTCGCCTCCCTGGAGCGCACGCTTCCCTGCGGGGTGACCCGGTTGGCTGATCGAACCCCGGCGCTGGGACTAGAAACGGGCGGGGCGCTGACGGGTGTTTGCACCCCTCTGGGGAAGGCGTGGTGCGCGCCAGGGTCTGGTTCACCGCCCTGGGTCTCGGGGAGCCTGGCCGCGCGGCCGCCGCGAGGACCCACGAGCGCGCGGTGCCCCAGGATGTGGCCACGCGGCGACCCCATGCGGGCCCCGGGGACCCCCGCGCCAGGCCGCCCGGCCCTGCCTCTGCTGCTGTGGCCTCTGCTGCTGCTGGCGGCGGCGCCGTCTGGCCGCGCAGGTACGTGGGTGACGCAGGGTGTTGATCCCGTGGGTTTTGCTTTCTAATCCCGTGCGGCTCGAGTTTCGCACTTTTCCGGGCGAGGACTCAGCTGGGCTGGAGGAATTTGGTGGCGATCGCTCTGATTGGTGCCCGCGGCTCGCAACTTGAGACGAGGGGCGGTCACCGCGCGGGGCGCCCTAGCCGGCGAGTCCCAGGCTCCTGCCGCCGCCGCGGGCTCCGTGCAGTCTGACTCGGAGACCCAGGGTCCTCCCCAACCAAACCCACCTCCCAGAAAGGGTCTGCCCGGAGGGAATGGGATCTAGAGGAGCCTGCGCTTCTAAGGCGCCCCCACCTCTTCCAGCTCTTCCACTTCCAGCCCCACCTCTTCTTTCTAGCTTTGCAGTTGTGTCCACGCACAGATAGGAGCTTTTTGATTTTTTCAGAAATAACAATACCGTTAACTGATTGATGATATAAGTTAACAGAAGGATCCCCTCCCTCTTTTGTTAAAGTTTAAACTTACCAACTGGAATCAGTAAAGGAGAATGACTCAGCCATTTTTCCTGTATTTTTGGTATATTAAAAAAAAAACTTTTAAGGCAGGATATCTGGGACTTTAAAAAATATATATTAAAAGCAACTACAAAGCTTTCCACAAGCCTGACAGCAGCAGTGAGTGCAGGACGAAAGTTGCCCAGGCAATTTGGCAGAGTCCTTAGTAGTAAAGGAAAAAAGTTGTTTCCACTCAATACAGTTATAAAGGTCAGAGAAAATGTGCCCACAAGGTCTGGAAGGGAGTTTTGAATAATAGATGTTATACACAACAACAGTTTTTCTTCTCCTAAATTTTCAAAAATTTTCGTTGCCTTTTAATTCCAGGCAAGAGGAATGGAAAGAGACTACTTCTGACTTATGCAAATATTGAGCCTTCAACTAACAGGAATTCGCTTGTTTTTCATTTAGATCAAAGAGTGATATTAAACCTGGTCAGCAATTGAGTCAGAGGCTGATATTAGAAGGAGTCATATTCTTAACTTTAAAGCAAAAATTGCAACTGGGCAAGCGGCACATAGCTGTAATCCCAGCACTCTGGAGCCTGAACCAGGAGGATCAAAAGTTTGAGCCCAGCCTTGGGCAACTTGGTGACTTAGTGAGACCATGTCTCAAAATAAAAATAAAAAGGGCTAGGGATGCAGCTCTGTGTAAAGGCCCCGGGTTCATTCCTGAAAGAGCAAAATGTGCAACAAACGAACAAACCAAAGAAACTCTTTTTTGATCCCCCAGATCCAGGTGAGTTTTTAGCTCTTAGCATGTTCTAGTCCTCTCTGGGCACTGCAAGGACTGCTGAGAAAACCAGGTTAGAAACTGGATATAGCTGCCTGGACTCCAGACCTGCTTCTTATTGACAAGTTATCTCCAATGCCTGCTGAAATGTGGACTTTCTAAGAGTTGTGTGACATTGCCACTCTTAGATGGATGAATATTCTAATTGATTTTCTGAACTCTGCACAAAACTCAGAGTCACACAAGTCAGTATTGGATCAGGTTGTGTAATGCTAAAAATTTCCCCCAATGAGGGGAAGTGCTCAACATGGCATCAACTTTCTAGGAAGATTTTGGTATTACATTTCAGGTAAACTTTAAAGGGGATTCCGAATGTCTCTGCTGCTCCCTCAAGGCAGGTGGGACAAAGACTCTGTCATCCACTCTCTATGCTCTCAGGGGACAGAAGTCTCAGAAATATATTCTTTTGGCTTATCATATGTGTTCTGTGGGCCTTTCCTATATCTTATTCCTCGGGAAAAATAAAGTATAGTCAGCATTAGATAAACAGACATAATAAGAGTTGGAGACACTGATTTTTCCACTCCTGTGTCCCTGCTTAAAATTCTTTAAGGTTTTCACTGCTCTTAGAATCATTCTCAATTCTCCTGCAAGATCCAGTGTGGCCCTCTCCAGCCTTGGTTCCTTTATTCCAACTGTTCTTACTTTTTTTTTTGGTTCCTAAGCAAGCCAAACTGTTTCCTATCTCAGGGATTCCTACTTGCAGTTCCTCTGATAGACTGCTCCTTTCGCTGTCTGTCCTGTTTAACTCTGCTCAGCTTGGGGGGTCTCACCACCTAAATCCCTAGAGGGAAAAATGCAGTTCATTATGTCTGTGAACAAATGAACCTAACTTTAATTTTGAGTCTTTAGAATACAATCTGGATATTACTTTCAAAAAGCAATGCTTGTTCGAGCTGATGCACCATAATGAACAGAGTAAGAGTGTTTGTTAAAATGTCTCTTCTTTAATACAAACACAGCCACATTGGGTATTACGTTTCACGGAGAAGTTACACTAGGACATACTTCACACACACACACATGATTCTAACGAACTAATTAAACTGTCATAATTTTTAAAAACTTTTTATTTTGAGCTTATTTAAGGCTTACAGAAAAGTTTCAGATATAGCACAATATTCCCACATACCTTTCAGCCAATTTTCCCCAGTTTCAACATCTTACATAACTGTAAGAACCAAGAAACTAATATTAGTATAATCCTACTCACTAAACTAGAGATTTTGCTTGAACTCTACCATTTCCCACTTTTTCTATTCTAGAGTCCAACATCTGGCATTCTAATGAGTTGTTGTATGGCCTTCCTCTCCTCTAATTGGTGGCAGTTCTGAGCCTTTCTTTGCTTTCATACTTTTGAAAGTGCTGGTCACCTCCTCCTTAGACTATCCCTTAATTTGGCTTCATCTGATGCTTCCTCACAATTACATAAGCAATTTCGTTTTGGCAGCGATACCACAGGAATTAAGTTGTCTCTCTCCATGCATTTCAAAGGACTTAGGATATCAATAGACCTTCTTTCTGGTGATACTAGCCTTGATCACTCTGTGATGTCATCATCAAGGTTTCTAATTATGATGTCAGGGTTTTCACTTTGCAATTGACAAGTATCTTGTGGAGAGGTAATTTATGATTATGCAAGAATTCTGTTTCTACCCTACTTTTTAATGTTAGTGTCCATCAATGGATTTTGATGGCAACAACTAATATGCCAAATGATTTTTTATTTCACTCTCTCCTACATGTATTAATTGGAATTCTACTTCCAAAAAGAGCTGTCCCTTTTACTTTATATATTTATGTATATCAATATACACTCATTTATTTTTATCCCACTTATAACTGAATACTTTCATTATTAGTTTTGCTGCTCCAATCGTTACACCTCTGACCAGCTGGCTCCTTCAGTGTGGCTCCCATGTCCTTGTAAGAAGCCTCACCTTTTCTGAGCATTTCATTACGTTCTAGCACCACAAATGTTCCAAACTCGTCTTGTGTTTTCTCTGCCCCATGCCGGGAATTAATCCTTTCCCCCTCAAAGCTCTGATTCCTTCTCTTAAGAGAGTGGTGTTTAGAAATCAAGATCTGGGTGCTTGACGTGCTCATTGCTACTGGGATGTCATTTCTAGGCACTCTCTGTGGACAGAGCCAGCACTTATAAACATATATTCTAATCCAGTTATACATCACCATGTATATGCATATTAAAGACCCTAAGTATTCTTATTATAAATATTCTTATTGACCCTTCAGACTTTGATCCAACAGTTCAAGGTCCATTATTCTTTCTTTATTTGAATCTTTCTCCGACAGTGAGAAGTCCAGATATTGTTATCTACAAGAGATTTACTTATTTGTTCAATTCTAGTGCAAAGTAGTTTCAGAATTGCTAATCCATCATGCTCCTGTGAGAAAAATATTTACCAACTACATTACAGCATGTGAATACAGTTCTTTAGTCTTTCAATTTACATTATCCAATCAAAATACTGTTGACCAAAGTTACCTAAGTTTGTCCACTTTTTGTGTGTGTGTGTGTGGTACCGGGGATCAAACTCTGGACCTTGTGCTTGCGAGGCAGGCAGTGACACCACTGAGCTACATCCCCAGCCCCTGTCCACATTTTTAGTGTGGTTATAGTATCCATTTGTAATAATTAAATCCATTTCTTACTGTTTGTGTTTCATCTTGAGTCCCCCCATGCTAGTTGATTTAATTACTTGTGGAGTTTCAGGTATTTGGAGAGAACCTAAGCATGGTTCTGAGAGTCAGAGTGCATACTGTGGTATACTCAGAAAAGTTTTGCTCCCTCCTTGATCCTATTCCACACTACCTCCCAAAGGTAACCAAAAACTTTCATTTCTACCTTATCCTTCCTATGCTTCTGCACCAATAAGAAGATATGTGTATATTTTTTACATCCCCCCTCTTACATGAAACATAGCACACTCAATTTACTCTTTAGCAGTTTGCTTTTTTTCCACTTAACAGTATCTTAATTATTTTCAAAGTAATACTTTTCTGCTGCATAAATCACTATTCCTAAAAGAGAGGTCCTGACTATACCTGCTAAATTAATTTCAGAGCTAAATTATTTCCACATTTTGCTTCAATTTAGCATGAGATCACTTTGTCTTAAACATACTGAATACTAACAGTTAAGAGCCAGCTCTAACTCTGAATTCTCTACCATGGCTAATGCAGAATTTACTCACTCATATGTTCTTTTTTTTTTTTTTTTTTTGTACTGGAGATTAAACTCAGGACCTTGCTCTTGCAATCATATGTTCTTTTTAGCAAACAAAAATGTCACTTTTTCCAACTTTTCTCCAGTAACCCTTCAAGTAGACCTGGGGTGATTTCTTATATACTGGTAGGTACATTCTGATGGTCTCTTCATCAGTCAGCTTGAGACTCATCCTCAGCACATCTGGAGAGCGTCATGCATCCAAGATGCAAGCCTTGTCCTTGACAGCATGCACTCTTACTGCCTTATTTGCTCAGCTTCTTACAGTACAGACCCAAGAGAGGTGGTGTTTGCTACTTGGGGGACAACTAAGAAAATTGGTTACCTAGTGGAGTGGTGTGGAATGGAAACAGGGTAGTAGGGATGATGAGGGAGCATCCCTCCTCTGGGTACATGTTTCTGTATAGTTCTGGCTCTTAGAATTATA